TCTCAGTTCTCAGGTCGCCAGTAACGTTTCTCTCTCCTTCGGCTGCCTCACCTTCGCCCCTGCCCTCCTCAACCTCTTCCAGGTCTCTTTCTCTCTCTTTATATACATGCATATATTTGTGTATATATCTCTGATAGCTTGTGTTCTAGATGATTCTAGAGAGAGAATTGACAAATAGCTCTAAAGATCTATGGCAGATCATTCTCTCTCTCTCTCTCTCTCTCTGTGTGTGTCTTAAATCAATCGTCGAAGCTCTCAGATCTCAGGTCGCCATTAACGTTTCTCTCTCCTTCGGCTGCCTCGCCTTCGCTCCTGCCCTCCTCAACCTCTTCCAGGTCTCTTTCTCTCTCTTTATATACATGCATATATTTGTGTATATATCTCTGATAGCTTGTGTTCTAGATGATTCTAGAGAGAGAATTGACAAATAGCTCTAAAGATCTATGGCGGATCATTCTCTTTCTCTCTCTCTCTCGCACGCATTCAACGGACTTGTACAGCTCTGCTCTCTCACTCGTCATCGTCGTCTGAAGATCTCCAGCGGTATGAATCTCTCTCTCAATCTCGCCCCCAATCCCTCTCTCTCTCTCTCTATCTCTCTCTCTATATCTATCTATCTATCTATCTATTTATCTATCTATCTCTAGCCACACATACATATCATACGAGGAAGCTCTGGTTCGACTAATTCGTCTCATTCTCATACAGGTATGTACTGGTTCAACTCATTTTATTCTTTGCCCTATTTTCTTACATTTTTCATATCTATTAGTGTATATCTCTCAATTTCTTCTTCAATACATTATAGTGAGTAGTACATTATTGTTTTTAACTTGAAATCAAGATTTCATTTATTATCGGCAATTTTGAATTTGTTGAGGCAAGAACTGGTAAATTTGAATTTGGAAGATAAAAAGTCCTAGTGTTGAATTTGCTTGATTTATATGTGATATTAAATTAGTTCGTTGATCATGCTGATTGGATTTTCTAGTTGATTGATCTGTTAGCATTGACATTGACATGAAGTCTGTATTGAATGAATCTGTTTCATGGATGAAGTTTCTGTGTAACATGAAGCTCAACATTGATTATTAGTGCAGGAAGACATAGAACATTTTGGAGATGTCGGTTCTCTGGATGATAATATGGATTCATTTCTGTCGCATGATGGAGGAGAGGGAAGAGATCTGTATGGTACCTTAAAACCAGGTCTTACTGAGCATAAAACAGAGTCTTCTAAGGGTAATCAATTGTTGTATTTTGTGTGTGCTATGTTTGACCTAACTGTTTGAATAATACTAAGAAATGGTCAAATTTCTCCATTTCAGGTTTTTCCTTTAGGGAAGTTGGTTGTATAAGGACAAGGAATAAAGTTACCTGCTGTCATTTTTCTTCAGATGGGAAGTTACTAGCTAGTGCTGGACATGACAGGAAGGTAAAATACATACATTAAAAAATAAATATAATACCTGAAGACTACAGTTGCCAGGCTGGACACAATGGTTCACTTTAGTGATATATGACATGCATAAAGTTGGCATTTTGACAAAGGATATTCTCCTTTAAGATCTATGTCAATATCGTTAGTTACGTGTATGTATTTGTGGTGCGTGTGTCTGCTAGTTCCAGCCACTGATTGAACTAATGTTTCAATAAGCATACCTTAGAGTAAAAGTAATGTTAGCATAGATAAGAAGCGCTGATCCAAAAGGCGTTATGGTTAATTATTCCTGTTACATGCATCAGGTTGTCCTCTGGAGTATGGATACACTGAAAACAGAAACCACACCGGAAGAACACCAATATTTGATTACAGATGTACGTTTTAGGCCAAATTCGTCTCAGCTAGCAACAGCGTCATTTGACAAGTCTCTGCGATTGTGGGATGCGGCTAATGTAATTGTCTATACCCTCTCTTTTACGATAATCTTTGTAATTCTTGCATTTACAAGGGAAGAACACCAATATTTGATTACAGATGTACGTTTTAGGCCAAATTCGTCTCAGCTAGCAACAGCGTCATTTGACAAGTCTCTGCGATTGTGGGATGCGGCTAACATAATTGTCTATACCCTCTCTTTTACGAAAATCTTTGTAATTCTTGCATTTACAAGCCACGCTTCTGCTGTTCACATTCTGGTAACCTAAAATTTGCAATGTATGAACTTTGTATTTATTTATCATTACCACCCCAAACACTTATTGGGCTTATTTTTGCAGCCAAGTTATTGTTTAAATGCATACACCGGGCACCCTAATCATGTTATATCCCTGGATTTCCATCCCAAGAAGAACAATCTTTTCTGTTTTTGTGATAGTAACAATGAAATTCGCTATTGGAATATCAATCCATTCACTTGCGCTCGTGTTTCTAAGGTTGGATTTTGTAACATTCTCTTTTGTTTCACATGTCTCCAAATTTCTACTAAAGTTGCACTGTATTATCCTTGAGTTTTGATTATCTGTTACTTGGTGTAGCAAGGAGGCAGTGCTCAGGTGAGATTTCAACCAATAAGTGGACATGTACTGGCAGCAGCATCAAATAAGGTGGTGTCCATCTTTGATGTCGAAACTGATAGACAAACTCACACATTCCAGGTTTGTATTTGTCTTCTATTATTCCATTGATGATTATGTTCTGTATTGAGATTATGTAATCATTCACGTGACGTATTGAGATTATATAAAATTCAGAGTTTTTGTGGCCAGGGATGTTTTCCTGGTATTTTTGGCTGTTCAAACTGTGAGTAGTACTTTGTTCCCATCTCCTTTCGATACAGTATTTAACAGAAGTGCCATCTTATCATTAATCTGCCAATTGTATTTTAATAAATGTTTTCATCTTTTGCTAGCACAATTTGCTTTCT